TAGTGCCACTTTTGCTTATTGGTCTTTATGAATTACTTTGCGGCGCAAGGGGCTCTTTGCAGAATGCATCCTATACTGTCTACTATACTTTGGTTTTTAAATGAAATTAGTTTTTATCACAATGTGTTGTATATCATAATATTTTAATACCATTTCTGATAGTGACTGCCGGGTGTGCCTGGTAGCTTACAAAAATCAGAGCTTCCTTATGCGATCGTGTGATTTACCTGGGATTAGGTGGGTATCTCGTTTGCTAACAGCTGGGGTGGCTTTCTTAAAAGGCAGCAGATGCAGGCTGTGTGCACACCCCTCTCGAGAAGGTTGTCCGTGGGTGCACCTGGGTTGTAGCTGAGGCGGTGCAGAGCGAGGGTAGGGACTGCGGTGGGGTGCCAGCTCATAGCAATGGCAGCCCCGATTGGGGCTGGACCTCCGGAGGAAACAGCGGTGTGCATGGCGCTGCTGGCGCCTGCCTCGCAGCGGGAAAACAGCTGCTGCCGCTGCTGCCAGCTGTGGAAATCCTTCTCTCTTGCTGACAATACAGACCTTTGTGTTTGGGGCTCAGGGGCTGATGCTGTGGTGTACATGTGTGGGTTAGTTACCGTAATCCTTTCTGCTGCACCACCAATGCTCATCTAGATATAACATTTCTATATAGCTCCTTAAAAGCTATAGGTGCTGCCTAGAACATATGCAAGGACATGCGTCCTGGGTTTCAAAGTACCGATATGCCTTCAGTCTTGGTCTTTTGGAATTGGTTCCTTTTCAACACCCTGCAGCACCGAGTGTTATAAGCAGCTTGGTTGGTAACAGATTTGGTAGGTAAAATTTATTACTGGGTGGATCAGTTACTCTTTCAGGTATTTTATAGTGTCAGCTGTTAGCAATTGCACGTAATGTCCATTTCTTAAATCCAGCTCTTTCCCACTGACCAAGAGCAAATAACGAACTGAGTCCATTGCTGAAGCATACGACAGTAACCAAAGCTTTCCTCTAACTGCAGAGTTACGCTTAACATCTTAGGACATCTCTATGCTCTGCATAAAACAGCGATCCTGCGAATTAGTGGTGAACAAAGCAGCTGCAGAATTCAAGTTTAGCATTGTGCTGACTCAGCTGCTTTGCATCTGCAGCCCGAGAGGTGCTGCTCATCCCAAGGGTCAGCCCCAGCACTGTGCTGTGTGGGCAAGCCCCCAGGTCGCTGCATCTCTTCCATACATTATTCTTCCTACAGGCTTACAGTGATCAAATTTAAAAATCCAGAGAGCACCATTTTTTTTGCTTACAAAAAGTCAGACAAAGAAGTAGATTGTACAAAATCTAACAACTGAACAGCAAGGGTGAGTTAGAGCTTCAAAGACAGAGGTGCCATTTCTTGCTGCAAAGTTTCAGCTTGAGTTTCTGAAATTCTCTTTCTCAGTAGCAGGAGCAGAGTCAGAGAGTGACAAAAGTAAGAGTGAAGCAGTGTCGTAACTTATGTTTTAAGCTAAAATTTGACAAACTGGGGTGTTTTACTGGCTCTGTAAGTATATGCACTGTACTTTTGTGTGTGGGCACGCAGGTTTCTGAGTCACGCCACTCTTTTCTGATGGCTCCTAAAGGAAGTGTGTGCTCTAGAACATCATGAGTAAACAACTCTGCAGGATGCTTGCATTAAACTTCAAGCCAGTTCTGCCTGAGTTTGACCTATTATAGAAGCTTGTCCTGTGCTTCCAAAATGCCATTTTCTAGACCCCCCTGGTAACTGCCCTGGGGGCTACAGGGCTTGTTCAGCAGTAGCTAAATGCTAAGCTCACCAGTGTGCAGCTGTGTACTTAATTTCCACTCCTGTCCTGTTGAGAAAGCCCTTCAGTACCAGAAGAGGTACTAGCTAGTGTGCAGCTGGTGACTACAGGTACATCGGAGGATGTCATCCCTCTGGAAGATGGGATAGGGAAAGAGGGGATGCCCACTGCCTTTCTCCCCCTTACCTCCTTGTAAATAATGTGTGCAGGGAGGGTTTTGGAGAGGCTGGATGTGTCCATGGGTAGTGGCTTCCCCTTAAGAGAACTCAGGCTTTGAGCATTACCCTGGTTCCCCTCTGTCTCCACCAATTCCTTAAGAAGCTGATCCAAAGCAACCCAGCTGAAAGGAAAAAAAGTAGAACAGACCAGCACAAGCATGCAGAAAGCAATCGCTTAACTGACAGGGAGGTAGATGAGTTATGGCATTTGCAAAAATACTGCCTTTTAGAGAAAGCGCTTCATAGGCCAGCTGCATTCAGGTCTGAGCTGCCTTAAGGAATTAATTTAAAAGTCTGATATCAAACCAAACTTTATTCTGCCTGCTCCAGAAACTTTCCCGCGGCACATGGAGTGCCGAGGAGACTCACTGTGCATTATCCAGACTGCTTTGGCCTCTTACCAAAGCAGCGCAGAGAGCAGAATTTCTCTTTCTCTTTTTAATCAGTTGAAGGAGTTAAAAGCTTGGTGAAATAGCCTAATGGCACAGTTACGCTAGAGACAACTGCAGCTGTGAAAAGGCTGTGTTAAGAAACAGGATGGTTGTGGTCTGCTGTAAGAAATAATTTTCCTGTTGACTGTTTTTTTTAAACAGGAAGCTGAAGAACAAAGCAGCATTAGTCTTGGTGCTTTTAATAGGCTTCAGATTTCAAATATTGCATTTAGGATAAGCAGATCGGGAAAGGATAGGGCTTTGTGCAGAGTCTTATGTAACGACTGAGAGCTAGAAATACGGAAGACAGGACCTGAATTCAAGCAGATCCTCTGAACGCGAAGCTGGTGCTTCTCTGGAGACAAGCTGAAGAACAAAGCAGCATTAGTCTTGGTGCTTTTAATAGGCTTCAGATTTCAAATATTGCATTTAGGATAAGCAGATCGGGAAAGGATAGGGCTTTGTGCAGAGTCTTATGTAACGACTGAGAGCTAGAAATACGGAAGACAGGACCTGAATTCAAGCAGATCCTCTGAACGCGAAGCTGGTGCTTCTCTGGAGACACCAAGATGCACATAACGACTGAGAGCTAGAAATACGGAAGACAGGACCTGAATTCAAGCAGATCCTCTGAACGCGAAGCTGGTGCTTCTCTGGAGACACCATAAGATGCACAGTAACGCACTGGAGGACTGATGAGAGCGCGCCGGTCCGTTTGCAGGACTTTGCGAACGCGTGTGTTTGCACAGCACTGCGTAGGCTTGGCTTCACATAGTTTCCTCTTTGTTAGTCAGTCTCTCCGTCCGCCAGCTTCCCCTCTGCTCTGCTTGCTCTTTCGCAGTAACCGGAAAGAGAAACAGTTTCTGCAGTACGGGAGAAGAAAACCTGCAAAGACTAGAGACTCTAGTCTCACTTTGAACGTGAAAGCCTCATGCCACTTTGAACTCCATTTTTTTTTTCTAGATAGTCAGCCAGAGCTAGGGGTGATGTGTTCAACTCCTTTCCAAGCCCTTTCCTCCCTAAAGATCTTAGACAAAATCCATTAAAGTCTTATTTCTGAAAAGCTTTCTTCTGAGGAAGGTAGCTCAGCAATTTTTTGTATGTGTGTGTTTATAGCTGTATTCTAATTCTTTTGAAGCATGAGCATCTGACGAGATAAATCTGTACTTCTAACCATTTTTTTTCTCACACACATACCATGGATCATCTCAGAGCCATTACAGACTTTGTAGGTGGTGACTCACCTCAAACCCTCACTGCAAATGCCATTTTGTTCCATTCAGAACATTTTCCTAATGCTCATTTAAACTGTAAAGGGTACTGTACCTAGCATGAAGTTGATTTGGCAGATACTGTGCTATTACAGTTCTCCTTGGTTTTATCAAAAACAATTAAGTGACTTCAGAAAGTAAGAGCTGTGTATTCTTGTAAATAACTGACTTGGGGACCTCAGCTGTTAGCCTAGGGTTGTCTGGAAAATAACCCTTATTCCTATTTCCACTGTGTTTACCTGTCTGGCGCAAACATTATATAAATGGTGGCAAATCACCGTTACTAAAGCTGGCTGAGGTGAATGGGCAAGAGCAAAGCACATGCTGAAATGCCGTAACACCATTAGAAAAGCCCTGGAGCCTCCGATAGGCACAGTTCCAGCGAGCAGTGTGCCAAAATGCCACAAAAAGCCCTCGTGACTTGAAAAAAATTCCTTGATGCTTGTCCTTTCTTTTTTTTTCATTTAATATTTTCATTGCAATGAAGTTCTACATCTCAAGTGTGACCCTCCTAGGATTGCCTTAGGTTGGAAGTTCTGCTTGGAGTGGGGAAAAGCAGGAGCCTGGTCTCCAACAGGGAAATTCGGGGAAGGCTGAGCTTTGGCAGCCAGGCTTTTCCCTCTGCAGCAGCCTGTGGCTGAGAGGCCAGGCTGCCTGCTTGCTCTTCCTCCTCTGGGAAAGTGCACAGAACGTGACTGTGTGTGCCGCTCCTGAGGAGAAGGAAGGTGCATTCAGAGGTGACGATGGAGCTTGGAGTCTTCAGAGCAAGCAGGGAGAAAGGAAGAAGCATGTGTCTTTCCTAGAGCTCTGCTGTTCCACCCTACCCATAAGGGGGGGAGGGGGGGGGGGCGGATCTTCCAGCAATTTAAGGGCTCTAAAATGTCAGCATCTCTTTCCGAGTATGGTCTTATGCCTTCTTGAAGTAAGAGTTGGTGGTATAGCTATGGGATTATCCTGAAGTACTTCCACAGGAACAAGATTGTTGGATTAAACAGAGTTCAATTTTGTTACTGCATTTTCGTGTATTGCCATAGCAATGCATGGGTTGTGTATGTGTGCAAAACTGGGTATGTATGTCTGTGAGTTTGTATGGCAATGGGGATTATGTAGGGAGCCCCCGTTTCCATGCAGCTGGTTTCCATACAATGAAACATGAAGTGCTTTTTACAGATTATTTAGACTTAGAAAATGTAGCAGATAAACCTGTTAGCTGCAAGGATGTTTTTTAGCTGAGTAGAAATTTATTTATTAAGGTTTATTAATCTCTGGGCCTCATGTGTTTCGTGTTTTGCTGTGCAGGTTTCTTAGCAAGTCCAGACAGAGCTCAGCCTTCCACCATGCCCGTGCCTCCCCCTCCAGCTCCCCCTCCGCCCCCAACGCTGGCCTTGGTAAGTTTTACAGGAGGTAAATGTACCGTACTGTCCTTTGTTGCTGCTTGTCGTATTGAACGGGACATCCAGAGGCATTGAGGTGTGGATGAGGGTATGCATGATATTTGGGGAAAGCTCTCCAACATTTGTTTACGGTTGATAATTGATCCTACAAGAGGCACCATCACTTCCGTTCCCTTCCAGGGCCCATATGGATGTCACTAGCCACATTGACTCTCCATCCTCCTCTTCCTCCCACACTGGTAGTTTGATCTGATGTAGGGATCCTGGGTGGAGAGGCACAGCTCCTCAACAGCTCATCTAAGTCAGGGGAATTGAAGTCTTGCTCTCCCCTTGACTTTCTCCAGCCACGTACTCCCACCTTCTCCCTTGTTCTACTCTAGTACGTACATTACCCAAGCTGGAAAAAATCAATCCTGTTGTTTATATTTGGTAAGGATAGTTCTTAGCTAGCATAGCTCCCTCAGCCAGCCTGTGGTATCAAAGCACAGGACCCACTGCTGGCACAGCATGGTGGGTGAGACTACATCGGACCTTACTTAAGTCAGCCTAAGCAGGAACAGAGCTTGTGTTTGCCCTCCGACAGTCAGTCACCTCACTGACAAGAAAGAAAAGGCTTCTTGAAATGCCGTTGTAAAGTACTCAGATGTTTTCATAGCAAAACCCTAGCTGGTTACACAGATAGGTTGGGCTGTGCCACTGAAGAGTCTTTCCCTCATTTTCCACCACAAGCAAGATACAGACTCTGTGCTTGGTCCCTCCATGGCAACTCTCACCACTTTTCAGGAAATTTCCGTAACATGATCTGATAAGTTAGAAAGCTTTTCAGGAACCACCATTTCCTAGAAGAAATAACCATATATACATGCATGTGTGTGTGCATATATGTGTATGGGTTTGGGTTTTTTCTGGTTCTTCCTTGAAAAACTGTGTCCTCAAAACATAAACTGAAAGGAGAGGACCATTGAGACAAACCTCATGCATCTAAAGGTTTTATTGGGTCTATATGAAGAGGTCTATATTGTTGAAGTGGTGATTGCCATTTTAAAGTATTTCTATCAAAACTAAAATAGTAGATAAAGCTCCATCTTTCTTCTGATTTATCCAGAATTTGTATATTAGGAGTTTTCATTACAACTTCCAAGAATGTCCACCTTTTTGTATAATCAAATTATGTGTGTAATCTGTTCTTGTTCAGTCTCCAAAATGGCAATTTGCCACAGATGTGCCCTGGCTTTAAAAAATCAGAGACTCTAAGTCTTGAGTCAAAGAAATGTGAATTCACATAAAAGTGTTCTGTTTCTAGTGAATAGTGTGGGTTAGAATAGCAGCAGTGTTTGGGGCCTCAAGTCAGTAACAAGGCTGGCTACCTCTAACATCATTCACAAAAGCAGACACGGCATGCTACCCACTCCAGTGCTGCAAAAACAGAAATTGAGGTCTCAAGTAACTACCATATTTGAGCAGAACTTTATAGCTAGAAGTTGAGGTTTATTTTGCCTCCTCATTTTTAATTTTATTTTGCAGGCAAATACTGAAAAGCCATCCCTAAGCAGGTCAGAACAAGCAGGGCGAAATGCTCTATTATCTGATATTACCAAAGGAAAAAAGCTAAAGAAGACTGTTACTAATGACAGAAGTGCTCCGATTTTAGACAGTAAGTATGATTCTGCATGTTGGAGTTTCTGTACTTGTGAATGGTTCTACAGATCTGAATGCTCAGAATTATTTTATACATTATCAGATGAACTGCCATGAGAGAAGTAGGTAAAATAAAATGCCAGAAGTTGGCATGCATAGGAGCATGCTACCCTGCTAGGAGCTCTGCTGAGGAGCTGCAGCAGATCAGGCAAAAAAAGCCCCCGTGAGGACTGAGGAGAGCACAGAGACTAAAGTGGAATTTCAGACTCTACTTTCGCATAAACAGTATAAAAATAAAGGCACCCCTGGCACGACACCATTGGCTTGTTAATGGCCCCAGTGCCACTTAAAGCAAAAGCAGAGCCAGGAGCCACAGCCCCACCTGTGTGTCACTGCTGCACGCAGTTTTGCCACTCTCGGAGTGACTCAGGGGTGTTACCTTTTTGGCTCAGCCTTGTTGCTCAGCCTGCCCGGCAGTGCTCCGGCACAAGGCAGCAGCTCCACTTACCTGAATGGAGACAAGGTCTCCATCCAGCTGTGCTGCTGCTGTGTCTCACTGTACATCTCAGCAGGTGCTGAGAGGAGGCTGGAAAAGCCCATGTAGCAAAAGTATTGGGAAGACAGAACAGAAACAGGAGAAGAGCGAGGAACAAGGGCCTGCTACGTCAGAGGAACAGCGTTTATTGCCTAGGGAGAGAAGACACTTCTACAGATTGATCAGCAAATGTTACACATTTGATACAACCTAGTCCAGGTCTGGCCATGCAGTTAAAGGCTGGACAGCGATGAGGAGGAAAGAAGAAGGAAGATAATGAGGAAAGAAGGAAATGCCCAAAGGAGTGTGACCAAATAAGAATAATAAAAAAAACAGATACAGTCCTGCAGTCAGCCAGGTACTTAGTTTTTAAACGCTTGAGTATTATCTCTGAAAGCAAAGTTACATGTTCTAGCTATTGTAATGAGCTGGAGAAAAGCATTAAGGGGATTAAAGGAAGGGTAAACAGTAATATTAAAATGATGTGGCCTATTATCTTGTTTACATGAATTAACAAATCATGATGAAAGACTAAACCATAGTAGCTGCATTTCTCCAGAGGTTCACACCCTGTGTGAGTCAGAGCTGAACTGAGCTAACATGCTTGAGAAAAGAGAAGGATGATGTGAAACATTCCCCCATGAACACATTCTTCCTCTTTTTTTCTGGGTGGGATTATTAGAAGTGCTTTTAATCCACAGGTTTTAATTACTTTAAAGTCAGTGAAATGTTTACCCACCCAAAGTTGTAGAAATCGAGATACCAAGAAATTAAGCAATGGATCTTCAGCCATGTAGCCCGTCATCGGAGAACTGATTTCCACAGATATCCCAACCTCTGGGCCTGCTCATTTTGCAGTGGTGCTCTGAATAGGGCTCTTCCCCGTATTTGTAGTTGTGGAAACACTTTCATTTTACTTTTACCATCTCAGTGTTGTCACAGCAGAAATATTGACATTAGAGAAATGGGAGAGGAAGGGGGGGGCTGATAATATAATTCCTGCCTATTGGAAACATTAACAGCTAATGATCCTGTCACTGTGTTTCTGGACCTACAGGAAAGTAATCAGAAATGAAATCTCTTTCCCCACTAGGCTTTGTTTAAATAAGTAGATATGTTGCAACATCATCAATAGTGACAGAGTTCTATGCGCTCCTAGAAGTGATCACCAGAGACACCTCCAAGAGGAAGGACACCTCTCTCTTCCTCCTTCCTTCCTCATTTCCCGTGACATTGCCCTGTCTCTCGGTTTGCTTATGGAGAAGTGGAGGGGAAGGATAAGAGAGCAAAGGTATGAAGAAATGGGAAGCAGCTACAAAGATGCTAACAAAGACAACACGATATTCTCAGAGGTCCCATCCATGCTCAGTTCCAAATTCTCCATAGCAACTGTTTTTCTGCTTTCCAGTCCAGAGGAGACTAAAGGAAAGTGATGGCTTAATAAAACACAGTGGCTATGTTTATTGCACCACCTCTTCCATGGTGCAATAGTGGTGGTGATGGTAGCTATGATGATCCAACCTGAACAAGGACTTGTGTGTTTTGAAAGCTCGTCCATTTTTCCCCAGCTACAAGCATTGCTCTAATGAAAGAGATGACTTTGCAGGATCAGTCTCGCTTCTCTGCCTAACGTGGGGGATTTTTTTCCCAACAGAACCCAAAGGACCTGGTGGAGGTGGCGGCGGTGGCTTTGGAGGAGGTGGCGGTGGCAGCGGCGGGGGTTTTGGTGGTGGCGGTGGTGGCAGCTTCAGTGGCGGTGGACCACCTGGCCTTGGAGGCCTTTTTCAAGCAGGAATGCCAAAGCTCAGATCTGCTGCGAGTCGAGATGCTGGTAAGAAAGACCTTGCAGTTCCAGTGTGAAAAAGTAAATGAAATGTAATTTTCAGCTTGAACTTGTTTTATTCTTAATACTAGGTTTTATGAGGGAGAAGTGAGACTCCTCTTTCCACCCATCCTCCTAGTTATTGATGAAAACTAAAGATCTCAGAAATGTTGAATTGCTACCTGCAAGGTACAGTCAGGCAGATTAGGTCCTGCCTTAGCTGTGGGTGTGCAGGACCAGAGGGGAGCATAAGAGGATTCCAAGTTAATTCTCCCTTGTGCACCAGGAAAAAGGATCTACTTTCCAAATGGAAAGTACATCTGCGTCAGCTCCACAACAGCATGATTTACCACTTAGGGAATGCATGAGGCATCCCAGCTGGCTGGTACGCACACTGCAGTTGGAGGCTTGTCTGGGGCATGCACTGTATTCTTCTGGCTGGCAAAACAACTGCCCGAAGCCTCGTGCCCTTCGAGACAAAGGAGATCTGGGGCCAGTGAGTTTTGTTAAGGTTAAGGATGTAGGATTTCATGCTTGTTGAAGGAGGACTGGGCAACGGGGGTTGTAGGGTGTTACAAACCTTACACATTTTATAGACTAACATAATTTTTCAGCACATGTGTACAAAACAGTCTCTTGGAGCTGGTATTTTTGTTGTGTCACAGTCTATTTTAGGAACTTGCATTAATACCAAAGTTTCTGGCATCACAGAACAGTACTTCTTCAACTGCAGGGCTGGCTGCCTTCTTCCTGATGTGCACAAGTACATCCTTAGATAACAGCTACTAGAAAGGGCTGAAAAGAGCCTTTTGCCAGACTGTTGTCATTAAATATCATTTGAAAGCTAAGATTTCTTTGCTTTCAGGTTGATGGTATCAATACCTGTTCTTGACCGTTTCTTCCCTCCCTGTGTTATTGCTTGCTGTGTGATGGCTGCATCAGTTGTGTTACCTTGCAGCCACTTTGGTCTCTCGCAAGTTGTCCCTCATAAGCATTACCAGGATGTAACCTGCTACTCCGGAGCGGTTCCCCAGTGCTATCAAAATTGCTGCTAACTGTTCCTGGGTGCCAAGCCCTCAAGGCTTGCGTGCCCCGTGCCGGGGCCGACCCCCTTCGTGTTTGCAGTGCCTTAGGACGCAGCCCGTCAGGAAGCCGTTGGGCGAAGCCCGTCCGATGGGTGCTGATGCCCTCTCCTGTGTCCGCAGATGCCGGGGGAGGCCGCCCGCCCGCCCTGCCGCCCGGAGGCCGCTCCGCAGCCGCCAAGCCC